GGCTTACAGAAAACTTTATATAAAGTTGGTAGCATCTGGAATGGATCTTGAAGGATGAACAGTAGTTCCCGAAGGTACTACGGAGAGGAAAGGCATTCAAAGCTGAGAGAATAAGGTGAGCAACAGAAAAGAGACCTGAAAAACCATGGTGTGATGGTGTATGTGTATTCAGATGGATGCACACCTTTCTAATTACTCGGCTTCTGCCGGGAAGATGGTAGAGTCCTTACCTTAAATATATGTCTTATCAGTCCAACTATGTCCCAAACTCATTGGGGACGGTATGACTTTTGGTGAATGACTTTTGAAAGTTACCTATATTGTATTTGATTCTCTGTGTCCCTTCCCCACAGGCAATATATGCACATGCACCACCCAGGTGGAGCCCTTCTGCACAGTACTACCCAACCCAGTGCCTTGGAAAGAAATGACACCAAAATCATTTTTGTGAATTGAAATACATACTAATGCAAGGGAGAAAGTTTTCTATTTAATGAAAATAGGTATTTGGATAACCTGGTGGAAGTCCTAGGTAATCAGGACACAGTGATGGGGGGAAGAGTTGCATGATTGCAAGTCCTTTTATCCAAGATTCTCTCCTACAGGATGAAGTAAACAAGTGGGAAGGGGGGGGGGAGGGCTGCACCATACATCAGCCAGCTGTCACATGAATCTCTTTCTTTAATACTGCAAGACTTAAGAGAGAAACCATTCAGATTACTACAAAGACACATTTCAAATGAGCTCATTAAATGCAAATTAAAACAGAAACACCGAATAGGCACCAGCCCACAATTAAAGGCTGAAGAAACAGCAGGTAAGAAACAATTTTCACTGATCAAAGAACTAAAAGCTAACAGAATAAAGTATTCTGCATTGAAACTGCTTTCATGAATATGAAGCATTTCAAAGATTTTTTTTTAATTTTTCAAAGAAGCTTTGGAGGTAGAAATGGATTTGCATTATCTTAATACAAAGTGCTTTCATTGTCTCATTTCAAGCAATGAAGCTGAGCTCTCAAAAAAAAATGCAGACTTCAAAAAAATCCTTAAATATAGTTCCAAATTTGAAAAGGGCATAGGTCATCATTTTACAGCCTTTGGATCCAAAGAACTGTACATATTTATGCAAAATCTTTTATGCAAAAATTTAGTAGAACTTGTTTTGTGACATAATTCTACCTCATCATAAACAAAAGCTTTAGAGCCTCCTCTGGGAACTTATAATGAAGAATGGGTCATTCTTCATCTATAATTATTGAAATGTCAGGGCAAGTAGCAGTACACAGTATATTCAACCAGAAATATAAATTCTGAGACTTTAAAATTCACCACAACAAGCTTTAAAACAAATATTCAGGTTTGTGGGCAAATAGTAAAGTTAGGCTGCACATTCATGGTGGCAGCGCATTGATTCCTGTTTTTTTCACTCATGAATCCCTGGCACCTGGAGCAGTACTGGGAACACAAATACTGGGAACTCAAGTATTGCATCTGCTTTCGTAAAAATAAAGCATTATAAAATAAGGAGAGGATTTTTTTCCTTAAATTCATTTTAAAAATTACAATATACTGTTTTTCATCTATCAGAAGGCAAAAATAAAAATATTTTATAGGACACGGGAGGAAATGGGCACTCTTACAAACATTGTCAGAGAGGTCAGGACAGTTGTGCAGCTTGTGCACTGCTCAAAGGCACTGTTCCTGGGGAGAGGGGAGCTAGGAAGAGAGAGGAAATCCAGTAGGCACTCTGGGGAGAATGTCTTTCTGTGATTTTTCAGCCAGAGGGGCAAGGCAGCTCTTTGCTACCCTGTTGTGATAGACAGGAGTGTAAAATAGGGCGACTTACTTTAGAACAACTTGGAAATACCTTGCAAAATCTGAAATCTACAAACCCTCAGTCTAGAAAACCCACCCAGAAATTGTAATATAAAGTTTTTACTTTACATATATACATACATATGCAAATAAAATAGGAACACAAACATTCCTGATGATAGCAATTGTCTGTAAATTTACTGAATGCTCATTTATTGGAAACTATTTGTGTAATTTATGTACATCCATAAAATAAAAACTGGGCAGGAATTACCATCGGGTGGATTTGCACATGCAGATATGTAAGTTTCTAAGAGATGTTAAGTTAAACAAAGTACAGAAGAGACAATGTTATAATTATCATTTTTGGGGTTTTTTTCAATCAATCAAAAATCTTGATTAAGATTTTTGAATTTGAGAGTAAGACATTAAATTTGAGTTTCAATACTGGCAACATTGCTGTACATATATCCACGCACTTCAATATCTGATACTACTCACATACCAATCCAGTTCTATAAGACATTTAGAATATGCCACAAATATCACCATTAAAATTCAAATTTTAAACACAAAGAATTGCTAATTTTTAAAAAGGGTGAAATACATTTTTAACAGAGATGCCAAAAGTTACATTTTTCTGAGTTGAATTTTCTTAAGGTTTTTCCGTTCTGCTTTATATTATCTTGAAGTCCTTCTCCATACTTCTCTCAAAGTCATAATTTTTCACCGACTTCAATTAAATTATGTTTCTGTAGCTGTCTGGGTCAGGGCAATTAACATATCAATCATTATCCAAGTAAGAACTGTAAGTGCTTTTGAAACAGTCTCAGTGCCAAGAAGGAAATCTGGGTTTTAGAGGAGAAGGAAGGTAATTTTATTGATAGAGAGATAATACCTTATTCTTATTCTACCAAGTAACTTATTTCCTCAAAAGTGACCCAAAATTTAAATAAAGTAGAAGAGTATTATTTGCATTAAAGAGGGTATAGCAATTAAAGAGAGCACAGGCAGGAAAAGGGCAAGTTCTGAGTAGCACAGGTCTTTAAATATAAAAAAAAACAATCCTCAGATATATAGTTACATATAATTTGATCTCCAGCTGATCACTGGGTATAAGCTGTAATGCCTTTCCTGGCTCCAAAGTTTAGTCACAGAAACAGAAACCCATCATTCTAAGACTTCCCTTCAATTGCTTCCATTTTCACTTACCTTTACACAACCAAGCCCAAAACTGACAATTAAGATTTTTATTAAAATATGCTCACCGACAGATTTAGACAATGCAACTAGTTACATAAAATAATTCATTGCACATTGTACTCATGATTGTTATGGGTAAGGTACTTTTCTTAGGCTGGGGCATGGGTTCAATTATTTATGTTGTAAAACTCTTATTTGCACTGTGTGATGAAGAAGAGCTGGAGTATGAGAGAACATTTTTAAAAATCTACCTTATAGTCTTCACATCAATACCAGTTATTGAGAGCTGTCGAATCATCACATCCAAAGATCACTCTTCCTTCCTGTGTCCCAAAATCCCAAGTAAAGACTAAACAAAACTGCCTAAGTATATTTCAACCTAACAGTTATTTATATAAACATTTATTAGATAATAATTTAGAATTTAGTGATGATTTTTACATCTTAAGTCCCTGTCTTTATATAGCTTTACCATAAATTTCTTTCTTTTAAAATTATCCACACAGTAGATTAAGTTGAATATAAATAACATTTGCACAACTGTCTTCAAAATAAGGTATACTTTTTCTGTAGAAATACTGACAGCAAGGATTTTGAAAAATTTCTTCTACTCGGTTTTCTGATTCAGTTCAAATTCCTGCTTACAAGTGGATCTTATGTAACCGTCACCTAAAAAGACTCAAAAGATTCATAAAAGTGTATACATTTCTCTTAATTTGGTAACTTTGAAAAGTCGTACCATGCTAGAAAATTAAGAAAACCTGACAACATCCTTTGGTTTTTATCATCGCTGCAAAGGCGGTGTCCGTTAATTCTCCCAGTAATAGGCAGAACGTTTTACATTTTAACATTCATTTAATAAATGAAAGACTTAAGAAGAGCTTATCAGTGCACGCAAACTCACACATTTTAAAAACCCACCTCTCATCTTTCTGGATAGACTACATCTGACTTTAAAGGTACTTGTTGCAATCAAAAGTGTTAAATGGCTCCCATCAGGAATAATCTCCAAATAAGCTCACCAAGCCAAGACACATTCTAGCGCAAGTCTCTGTCACGATAAACTCCCAAAACTCCCGTAATAAACCATGGTGGACACTGAGAGGCAACGTTTTCTAATCACACCATACATCCCCGCCAATTTTCAGAGATAACCCTTAAAATAACATTGGCTTAACAACCCTGGGAGTAGAGGAATTTTGCTATGTTGTACGTTTTAGTGTTTATAAGCAATTCTAATCGCCACTTCCCAAGTTTTACTCACAATAACGCACCTAGGTCATTTTATGTTTGAGAAAACAATAATTTTGCATAATGAACCGCTAAATCATTATGCAAAAAGGTCTACTTGTTGCTACTATTTACTCTTAATTATTCATTCACCTCAGAACGCCAATGAGAGATTTAAAAGAAACAATTCTAGGGAACAGGACGTTTCAATTCTTCTGAAGGAATCTGATAGGAGCCCAACCATCATCACCAGGTGCTTTCCATTAGAGTTTAATGCTCCGCTCGGATTTCCCGTCGAATCCCACAGACAGTGGGTACAGACTACAATGTCTGCCTGCGCTAAACTGGAAGACAGCAGCCAAGGTGCCCTGAGGGACGGAAAGCGGGGCGGGGCCTTCCCACCGACCCCCACGGGTCTGCGGGGGTGGGGGGCAGTGCGCTCGCGGCGGGATCGCAGGACCCCGTGTGCGCTCGGGACGGCGCGCAGGCGCACACCAGGTTCCCTCACAAAGTTGTCTTCAGTGCGAAACCTGTCAAAGCCGGGGCGGGGTGGGGGGCTTAGAACGACACACACACGTATTCTGTTGGAGCACGGCGGGCACTGGGAAGCCGGCGGCGCTGGCTGACGACAGCACAGACACCGCCGCCCTGCCACTGACAGTTGGCACCGGTGGGCACCTGGGGGTCCCCGTTGTCCGAGGCCTGGAGTGGCACCACAGCTGGGCGCATGGCGGCGCAGAGAGGCTGTACCTGACAGGCACCACGTACCGATCATGGTCACTGGGCAGGTGGAGACTGCTGGGCTGGAAAGGGCCTAAGCGCATACTGGCGCCCGCGCGCGTCTCCCACCAGCGGCGCCCTCCGGGGTTAGAATGTCCAGGACGCCCCGCCCCCGCGCCCGGCCGCTAAAATACGCACGCGCAGACGGCGCGCGGCCCCGGGCCTTCTGGGAGTTGTAGTTCTAACGCAGCTTCTCCTCACCCAGCTCGCCGCCCGCCGCCCGCCGCCCGCCGCTTTTCCGGTTTAAGGCCCAGGAAACTTTCGTCACGGAGAGGTGGGGCCATTCGGCCTCAGTGTTGATACGTCGCTTAGCAACCAGGAGGCTCACCTTTGGAAGCTTGTAGCTCCTGCCAAGGTCCAGCCCTCTCCCCGCCCCTCCCCTCCCCTCAACTCCCTTCACCTAGGAGCTGCCAAACACCTGGATCAGCCTGGGCGCTGCGAGGGGCTGAATTTCTACCATTAACGTGCTTTTTTTACAATTTTTTCCCGACCTCCTTGCCACATCCGTAAATCCCACTGATTCTTTTACCACACGTTTTTATGAGAACAAGACATTTTCTAGGAAGATGGTGGCAGAAAAAGAGACCCTGAGCTTAAACAAATGCCCAGACAAGATGCCGAAGAGGACCAAGCTGCTGGCACAACAGCCGCTCCCGGCGCACCAGCCTCACTCCCTGGTTTCTGACGGCTTCACAGTCAAAGCCATGATGAAAAACTCGGTCGTAAGTGATCTTCCTGAATTGAATGCACTCTCTCCGAATCAGGGGACACCAGGCTATAGAGGCTGGCCGGCCCTAGGATGGATTCTGAGCCCGCGTCCCGGCTGGGCTTTGCCAAAAATGGCAGTTTCTCTGCCTGTGGCAGACAGTGCCCAGCAGTGTATGGAGGTGCAGGCTAGGCTGTTAGGAGGGATTTGGAGCACAGGGATAGATGATGCCCATTCATAAGCACTTTCCTAATAACTCATGGTTTCTAGACACCCCCCCCCCGACATTACTCTTAAGCTACTTATGATGCAAAAAGACTCCCTTTACTTACTGATTCCTAAACTAGCCCTGCTCTGCAAAGGGCCTTATGGAAAGTGAGCTCTTAGAAATCTTAAACTCTTGCAAAAATTGACATGTGCTTATGTCCAGCTGGGCACATACACTCATTAAATAAGCTATAGTAAGAAACCTCATCAGTTCAACCAAGGAGATATCAGGATGTCCTAACATTTACTTTAACAACACTCTTTCTTGCAAAATGGTGTCAGCCTGTTAGAATACCGAAAGGTAACTTAATATGAAGTCTTTCCAGACAGACCTGTTAAGTAATATATATATTTTTAAATGCAAGCTCTAATTCAAGTACCTCTGGCTATTAATACAAGTCATATTTCATTTCTATTATTTGTGGTAGTTAACATATTCTCAATACTACTGAGGAAAAAAAGGTTTAAAATATACACAAATGGTTTAGCTACATGCAAGATAGGTTAAAAAAAAAAGCTTTTGTATCTGTTGAACAGCTTTAAATTTGGTATGCTAAACCAGGTTATACGACTGAGTAAGCACCTATCTGGGAAGAGATATAAATAATAAATGCAGCTTTCAGGTTTATATAATTTACACTCAGGGAGACTCTAACATATTGCATAGCAACTCATTATGTTAAATGAATATTATTGCTTTCCAGTGTCACATTATTTGTTTTACATAAATGTTGCAAACCTAATACCTTATTCCTAAGCCACATCTTTAGCATACATGAATGGAACAGATTACCTCAGGACCGCTAGGCCAGATTTCCATGGTGCTATACAAAGTGATATTCTGATTATTGGAATGTGTGTCAGTTGATTTCAATAGTTAAAAGTATTGGAAATAGACTAAAACTCCTGCTTGTTGTAGCTGCAGTCATTTTGCATGTATTTCAAAGATGACTGTTTATCAGCAATACAGAATACCATAACCATTCAAGCTAATTATTTGGTTTTTTTCTTCTGCATAATACTTATGATTATAATCCTGGTGACTTTTCAATGTTACATTTTTTCACAGGCGTAAAAAATATTGGTCAGAGTCTTTTTCTAAACCTCTGTTCATAAGCATGTTTTTTAACATAGCTTCATACTAAAGTCATAGTCCTGGAAAACCAAATATATTTCAGTATTGCCAAATGTAATAACTATGCTTAGAAGATTAAAAAAAACCACTTAATATGAAGCAGCCTTCTTTATAAACAACTTCCTTGAGATAAATTATCGTATTTTCATATTTTTAGGGAAAATTTCATAGTGTAGTATCTATTTCTCTGTTGCTCTGTTGAAATCTTCAAAACAGGATGGATAATTCTTTCACTTCATTTAGTAGAAATAATAATTCTTAGATGCAAACATTATTCATCCATCCATTCATTCATTCATTCATTCAACAACTCTTTTTGTTTGTTTGTTTGTTTGTTTGTTTGTTTGTTTGTTTGTTTGTTTTTTAGGCTAAGAACTAGTTAAACAGTTCTGGGGGTTTGGAATCAGCAAAACAAAGCCTCTGTCCTTACCACACCCAGGAAAACACTACTAACAACAACAAAATCTTGATAAAAGAAAGATAGACAATACTGTTTATACAAGTTAACTTCAATAGGATAGGAAAGAAAACCTTTTTCTTTTCATGCCCAATATTTACATTTCACCTCTTCTGTCTTCAACAGTATAGACCTTTTGGCATTGTAAGTCAAAATGCCCCTCTTTTTTTGAGGTTTATTTTTATTCAGAAAACAATATGCTGATCTCCACCTTTTCTGAATTGTAATCCCTTGTTCCAAAAGCCAACCCCCAAACCGTTTTTTCTAGTGTTGGGGCTTGCCTTCAGTTCCCTCTTCCAAACACTTGCCAGTTAAATAAGTCACATTCCAGTGCTCTTCCACAAAAGACAGAGTATTCTACCTAAAGAGTTATATGGAGACGCCTGTTGTTTCTTTGCTAGAGCCCTAGTCATATAAGTACACAAACTTGATCATAAACAGATTCAATCAGATGAGCTGTGCAAGCAGAAATCCTTAAAGTCATAATTTATGTACAAGAATGCAAAATTATTTATAAAATAATAATAAACGTAAATGACTAGTGTTTTAAATCCCGGTGTCAAATGCTACTATTCAGGTAGTTCCTTTGCTTCCTTGACATTGTTGTTGCATTCTGTATAAAAACAAGCAAGGACAAAAGTCCTGCAGTCAGAGGCTAACATTCAAATGCATACTGTTATAACGTTTGCCTGAAAAGAGTGATATGAGATACAGAAGTTGATTTCATCGTTCCTTTTCCCTTTAAAGGCCTTGTTTGTGGTGTGCTACAGCCCATATCCAGCAGCTCAGGGTGGTACCGGCCTCATCTCCGCAGACAGTAGACGTGTGCTAGGCTAATTGATCTACCTTATGAGAAAGCAAGTTAGGATAGGGACCCAAGGTTATGATACAGAAGCTGACTTCAATTTAATCTTTATATTACTCTTCTCCTTGTCAATAGACTATAGATGTTTGGTGCTCAAAGCTCAGCTGAATGGGAAAAATAATTATTATTATTCGCTTTCTTACATGGAAACTTTTATACTTACAATTCATTCAACACATAGTGGTAACGGTCAATATTTATAAATTATATATTAAGATACTGATTTGGCTGCTGTAACAGAGAACAAATAACAATAGCTTAACTAAGATGGAAGTTGCTTCTCCCACATGAAAGTCCAAATTTGTACACCATCTGGGGAGGTTGGGCCCTGTTTCCCCAAGAAATAGCTCCAGGGACATAGGAGATGTGTGTATATTTTTGCTTCGCATCCTACAGGATGATGCCCTGGACCGAGGTGGGCTTACCACCACTAGGGGCAAATCCCTACCCTCAGGAATTAAGAAAGAGGAAGCAGAGAACTTCCTTTTATGGGCATGACCCAGACACTGCACCCCACTTTCATTTACATCTCACTGGACAGAATTTACTCATAGGCCCATATTTTCCCTTTTTGCAAAAGCCTATGAACTATTGATGCTTGCAGCAATTCCAGGCCTCCATACCTGTTTTATCAGGAAAAGGTTTAAGAAAGTTCTGTAGTTCTGAAGGTACATAATCTCCAACACCTGCGTCATGCAGGCAAACAGAAAAAAGAGGTAAGAGTATCCTGCAAGGAGAGGCAGGAAGTCATGAAGGCCAAGCAGCTTCCTTGGAAGGGAGGTCCCAGAAGGTACATGTCACTTCCGCTCACATCCGTTACCAAAACTTAGTGTCTGGCCACAGACTATTTTTTTTTTCCATTAAGCATATAAATCTCAGACAATTTAATTTTTTGTTGTTGTGGTTTCAGGACACTTTCTAAATGGCTGAGCAAGGAATGGAACCTATATTTCTAGATATCTCTGACTGAACTAGTCTTCCCTTGATACTTGCTTTTTAGACTTCGGTTAATGCATGATATACAAAGAGGAGAGACACATATTCCATGTGTATCACTTGATGAATGTTAAACCAAACACACTGGTGTAACCCGCAGCCAGATCAAGAAGCATTCCCAACACCACAGAACCCCTCAGGCCCTGTCCAGCCGCTGCCCAAACACCCCCGCAAGCTCCCCTTACCCTGACTCCTCTCAGCAGACTTGTGCTTCTATACATGGAATCATAAAGTACGTAAATGTTTTGTGTCTGGCTTCTGGGATCTCCACACATCACCGCATGTGATTATGGATCCTTCATGCTCATCACCATGTAGTATTTTCATGTGTGACTACAACAATTTACTTATCCGTTCCTCTCTGTTGATGAGTATTTGTGTGGCTTCTAGGTTAGGACTGTTCAGATAATGCTGCTTGGAAAATTCCAATACATTTTTGGAGAACATATGTACCAACGTGCAAGGACCTATGCCTGGGAATTTCTGGGTCCTCAGGTATACATATGTTTGTTTTAGTAACTACATCAAAACTGTTTCCAAATTGATTTTTCAAACTTAAACTTCTGCCAGCTCTATAGGAGAGCGCTGTTTGCTCTCTAGTCTCACCAGTAATTGTTTTTTTTTTTAATTTTGCATTTTAGGTATTCTAGTGGGTGTATGATCTATCCCATTGTGCTTTTGT